GGGGGGAGGGGGGCGAAATTGGCCATTTTTGCAATTTCTGGCCATTCCCCAATGGTCATTTCTCAATTTGACCGTTGGGAACGGTCCAGTTAAATTTTAAAAAAAAATTCCAACGGTAACCGGGCTGCTAACGGGCTGCAGCCCGTGTTTAGCCCGTTAAGACATTTCAGGTTCAACGGGTTAGGGCCACCGTTAAGCTAAACGTGAACGTCCACAACCCGCCCCCCTAAACAACCCGTCCCAACCCGTCCATTAATGAACAGTAGCGGGCTGAACCGGGCTAACCCGGGTTGAAGCGGGCTGAAAACGGGTCAGTCCGACCCGATTAACACCCTTACTGTATACATATTATATGGTATTTTAAAAAAAAAATTGCAAGTGGCTATAATCAAACTATTACATTTTCCTTATTCTGTGAAATCAGTGCAATGTAGTATTATTGAATTATAGTCACTCACTTTTTGTTATTCAAAAGCTTGTATGTTTTAGTTGATAGGTTCTTTCTTTGAGCTTTTCCTTTTTCTAAATACCATGGTATTGATTATGACTTTACACCCAACTAGAAGCAAAAACCTTTTGCCTGGACATTTATTAGAACATCGGTCACCAATGTAAAGGAGTATGGTGAAGAATTTGAATCAACTTCAACCATGTTCTACAGGATTTTGTGGTCTAAATAGCATTTGTCCTGCTACCTATGATAAGGAAAAGGTGATTTCTGAACTACGTCTAATAGAACCAGTTAGAAACTACAAGAAATTGTTATTTGATGTCTTTCATTCTCTCTTTACTTTGTAGTACGGATTCAATAGAATGAGCTTTCTAGATCCTCGACCAAATTCCTGGCAGAGCGACATGTGCATACAACCACAGTCAGGTGACAATATCTTCTACTTGTGATGTCCTAGATTTGCAGCCAGTATACTCCTAGAACTTATTTTTGTGTTTGCTAAACTCTAGGGCGTCAAAGGATTACGTGATACAATTGCTTCTGGTGTCGGTAATGTTGGTTCTTCATCCTCTATTCAGGTTCACATGATGATGCAGTCGTTCATAGAATGATATAACTCTCTGTCCCATCCCCCAATATCCACTTTATTCCGCTTCAATTTCCCTCCATGGTGGCACTCTCGTACGTGCATTTGCTTCAATTTAAAGTCGATCAGTGCTAGTTGTATAGTTGGCCTTAATAGGCTAGATTAACCTACTTCTGGAAGAGATTATTATAATCGTTTATTAATGAGAGCTCACCTGATTGGCTTACTATTTAGTTGAAGGTGACACGTGAGCCTCTTATGTATGTTTTTATCTGGTATTTTAGGTTCCCTATTATCTTGATGAAGAAATATGATGGGGACTGGGGATCTCAGAGCTTGAGAATCAGTTGAAAGCTGCAAAATCTAAGGATATTAAAGTTAGGGCTTTGGTTGTGATTAATCCAGGCAACCCAACGAGGCAGGTAATAGTTTATTAGATTTTGGAATCTCATCATTGCTTTTCATCATTTAGGAAGAACCTACTGTGGTGGAAAATTCTGGCCTTCCCTTTTCCAATAAAATTTCAGAATGTTTACATATAGCATGAATAGCTTCTATGTATATCTTAGGTTCTTGCTGAGGCCAACCAACGAGCTATTGTGGAATTCTGCAAGAAAGAAGGCCTCGTTCTTTTGGCGGACGAAGTGAGTTTATTTCCCTCTAGATGCTTCTTTGCTTGATTATGGATTTTTTTTACTTCCATGGGAATTTACCAGCGATTCTGCACTTGTTTGAGGGGGGTCACAATTTTTTCATTCCTGAGTATTGTGCAATTAATTCTCAAATTGTAAGCATCTCATATTTTGTGGAACTCATACAGGTGTATCAGGAAAATGTTTATGTGCCTGAGAAGCAGTTCCACTCGTTTAAGAAAATTGCTCGGTCTATGAGATTTGGAGAAAAAGACATCTCTTTAGTTTCTTTTCAG